AATTGAATTGTTCATAAACAGGACTGTTCTTAAACTGAGGTACCACTGTACCTAGAACACTAGAACAACCAAGCCATAACCCTTCTGGTCTCACCAGGAAATTAGCTTTCCTAATGAGATCAGAAGAATTGTGACTTGGCTATGCTTTGCTTAGTATGGTTCTCTCTGTTGCTTGGATGAGAATAATTCTGATCTTTCCTACTGACCTCTTGGCAATATCTCCTTCAAGCTGAGATAGTAACATTACAAATGACCTTAACAGAACCCTGAAGGAATTACTTGCTGAGGTTTGATCATTATACAAATACCTTGATAAATGTTATAGAAAATTATTTAAACAGCATCAAGGATTGCATAGTAGAACCCTTGGTCATGTCCGTCCATTTTATTCAATTCTCCTGATATATTTGAGCTTTGTACATGTTTTCTGAGTATCCCTGAAGCAATTTAACTACAGGTAAATGCATTCCTGTTTAACCCACTGCCTAATTATCCAGCTGTTTGGGATGCTTCTTAGGCTATTTGGAGAAATGAGTTTGTTACATAGTTCTATGAGTCACTGAAGCTATTAAAACTAGCTAATAGTCTGGTCCAGTTTTCTTCTCCATAGACATTATATAATATTTTAAAACAAACCATTATTTTCCTCCAATTTTCGTACCATTAAAGTAAGGGGGAATACCTAGCAGTAGCACCGTTATTGGTAACACACAATATGAAACTCATTAACTATCAATAATTTAATAATGATCATCCATGGCTTAAATCGAAAGAATAGGTTTTTATCCTATTGTAGGCATTCAATGCCAGGATGTCTGTGTTATCACCCTGCTTTGTTACATACATTTAAGCTGCTCCACTGGCCCTTCTTTACAAGATTGTTTATTTCATTGAAATTATTTAAATATATTTTAAACGGCTTACAATTTAACTTAAAGCATCAAATAAAGAATGACAGAGTATCAAAACATTACAGACAAAGGTCAAATAAAACACAATTTTAAAGCAGCAAGGAAAACAAAATATTGAACATAAATGTTCAAATAACTTGAACATAGAACATTGTAGTTAAACACCAAGTATGGTGTTTCAGTTGGCTAAAGATCTTTTCTTAAAGTTCAGTCTGTCGCAATGTTACAATGTTCTCAGATCCTCACCATGCAAACCTTGGAAGATAAAGAGATATACTAGAGTAGATATACATTAGTGGATCTGTTAAAGCAGGCAGATTTATTGCAGGGGTGGGTTGTTGTTTTTAGGTTTGTAGTCCTAAGCCATTTTAAAGCAGGCATGGAGAACTTGTGGCCTTCCATATGTTGTTCAACTCTTAGCAACCCCAACCAGCATGGCCAATGATCGGGGTTGATGGAAGTTGCAGTTCAACCACAGCCAGAGCCAGAAGTCCCTCAGTCCTGCTTTAAAGTTAACAACTAGGATCTGGAATTATGACAAGGGGCCAATGCCCTTGAGGGTACAATGAGCGAAGGTTTCTCGTCTTGCACCAAGAGGCTTCCTGTCGTACGTCTGGTTTCCTGTGGCTGTAGTCAATTTGAGCAATGTGTGTAAGCACCCTAATTTAGCCCATTGAGTTCAACAGGATTGAGATGTGACTAGCTTTGTGGGGCTTCTGAATGAATTCACATGATAAATGACAAATGAAAAGATTAAACCAGCTTTTCTTTTGAGGAAGGTGAATATATTTCTTGATCAAAGCAAATATATTCAAGGGTTTGGGGGGGGGGAGAGAGAGCGACACAAATTGGCACTGTCCTTATTCTATCTATTCCAGTATTATTCCAGAGAGGTATCTGTGTTAGTTTGTAGCTCAAAAAGAGAAAATAATAAAAGTTCATGGCACCTTAAAAGACTAACAGATTTCTTGTGGCATAAATGTTTGTGGAGCCAGCCCATTTCATCCTTATAAGATACAGTGGTACCTCAGGTTACATATGCTTCAGGTTACAGACTCTGCTAACCCAGATATAGTGCTTCAGGTTAAGAACTTTGCTTCAGGATGAGAACAGATATCGTGCTCCAGCGCCGCAGCTAAAGTGGTGCTTCAGGTTAAGAACAGTTTCAGGTTAAGAACGGACCTCCAGAAGAAATTAAGTACTTAACCCGAGGTACCACGGTATAAGGTATTAGGTACAGGGAAGGAGGGAATTGTAAACTGTGAATTCAAATGATTGTGACAGGTAAAAAGTACAGTCTGAGTTAAATCTTAGATGCATGCAGAATAAACACAGTGACTATTCATAGCCACAGTAATTGTTGACAACATAATCAACCTAGAATTGCTAAGTCAATAAACATCTCCAGCAGTGGTTTTCAGCTTGTGTGCCGTGGCACCCTGGGGTGCCTTGACTGATGGTCAGGGGTGCTGCAGGCAACATTGGCCTTTGTCCCTCTTTCCTTCCCTCCCTCCTCTGATGCTCTCTCTTCACTCTGCCTCCCAAAGGCTTGCACAACTGTTTATTGCAGCAGCCCTGGCTATAAGCTCTGCAGGTGAATGGCGCCTCTGGGAGGCACCTCTCCTTGGGGTGGGTGGGGCAGCTCAGAGACCAGGATGGCAGCAGCAGAACCACAAGGGAGGGTGTTCGAAAAAGCGTGAGGCAAGGGGTGACATAACTGGGCTCCTGAGTCCCACAGGGGTGCCACAGTAAGAAAGTAGTTGGTTAAGGGAGCTGCAGACTCAAAAAGGTTGAAAACCTCTGATCTACAACAAGACAAAAAACCATAGAGCTGGAAGGGACCCTGAGAGTCACCTAGTCCAACCCTCTGCAATGTAGGAATCTCAACACATGGTCTCCCATCCAAATTGAAACCTTACTGGATCCTGCTTAGCTTTGCAAATGTGCTAGCTGATTATTGCTGCACCACTTTCACCCCTATTCAGGTATTCCCAGGCAGAATCAAAATTCTCAGTAAGTTCCAATTCAGTATTTCTGAACAGGAGCCTCCCCTTGAAATCCCCTAGTGGGAGAATCACAACTTTCAGGACAGCAACAGAGTGCCCCTGGAGAACTGAAAGAAGAGTTGTGTTATTAAGTGAGAAGGAAGCCTGTGTAGGCAGTAAACAAAGGTCAAGAATAAGGTTGCATGGGTTCAGTGCAAAGTGTTAGGTTTATAATGAAGCTGTTCTGGTGAGGCTGGTTAGGAATGCAGAGAATATAAGCAGATGGGAAAGACCAGTTAACTGCTGACTTCTACAGCCAAAGCAGGCAGCAAAGGTCCATTTCTTTTGGCTAACGTCCCAATGGTTCAACATTACATGTGCCAAATGTCTCTAGATCCAATCCTGGCAGAAGCCTCTGGTCTAGCCTACATACATAGGAGGGGCAGGATTAATATATCAACCTCAAACTGTCAATGTTTGGCACATCTGACAACATGGTTGATTCCCAAAGAGAGGAATTAAGCACAATAACATCGAAAGCCTCTTGCTTTCTTACAGCTTCATATGGGATGAAGCTCCAGCTCTCCAAGTCATATGACAACACATTTCCTATTCGAATTCTTCCTCGAAGGCTCATTTTGGTGCATTGTTTTATCTTCTCTCCTGACATTTAGACGAATGACTGGGACGTTGTTTATATTCTGCAGAATTTTCCATTTTGACCCTGTCACTAAGAATTAGCCGCAATGTAAACTACTCTAAAGAAATGTTGGATTTTAGCTCCCGCCCCCCTTGATACTGCAATTAAGGAGCTGCTGAAAAAAGACAACTGAAATATTTAACCGTGCAATCTTATGTATGCCAATCTACTTGGAGGTTGTTCCTGCTTTGTTCAGTGAGGCTTATTCCCTAGAAAGTATGGTTCCAGCTTTAGTCCTGCATCTTCCTCCCCTTGATTCTGTTTATTTGTAAAGTAAACCTTGACGTTTGCCACATTTCACCTTTGCTTGCTGTACTGCAAAAGAACTGAAATCAGAAGAACCTACCTCATACTGAGGGAAACCAATGGCCTACCTGGCTCAGTTCTGTCAACACTGACTGGCAGCAGCCCTTCAGAGGTCCAGACCAGGGACATTCCCAGACCAGTATCCCAGGAGATGCTGAGGATTCTACCTGGGACCTGCAAATGCTATTGAGCTTCTTCTGGCTCTTGGCAGCTGAAAATCTGCTTCTAAGCACTAGCTACAGATTAAGCCACTAACTGCAAACAAGCCATGTTGGCCTCAGGTTTTGGAGGGGGTAGGGAGCTCTGGCAAGATGCCCTCAGGGACACCCTGCTCCTTGTCACTGTCATCATGTCTTCTGGGCCCAATGGACAGAGTGAAGCCAGTGCAGACTGCAGTTCCATCTCCTTGCTGTTGGCACTGCTTGCAGGCTTGGAGAGAGCAGTTAGCAAGAGTGGTGGGAGGGTGAGAGGGGCAGCAGAAGCAGGGGGAGCTTTGGGGTGCAGCCATGAATTCTCTGCTAGGGTCTAGGCCCTGGCACATGTCACAGCAAACTTCCTTTGGGCACTGTGCCAACTGCCTCTAGTATAAAAGTATTATTATTCATGATATTACTTATTGAATTTATATACTAGCCTATGATATGTGTAGACAAACCATTTTCTCTGTTCCAGGATGGACAGATAACATCACACTATGAGTGAATGTCCACATTAGAACATAAGGAAAGACTGCTGGATGAGGCCCATGGCCCATGTGGTCCAGCATCCTGTTCTCACAGTGGCCAACTTGTAAACCCCAAGAGCAGAACCCGAGTTCAAAACCAATCTACCTCCCTGTAGTTTCTTGCAGTTGGTATTCAGAAGCATCACTGCCTCTGACCATGCAGTTGGATCATAGCTGTCATGGCTAGTAGCCCTTGATACCCTCAAGGAATTTATCCAATCCCATTTCAAAGCCATCCAAGATGGTGGCCATCCCTGCCTCCTCCCATGGCAGTGAGTTCCATAGCTAAACGATGCACCGTGTGAAGATGTACTTTCTTTTATCTGTCCCAAATCTCCCAACATTTTCTCTTCCCTTCCCCTTTGGGTCTGCAGGAGCTCTGCTAAGCTCGGAGATGTTTGTCATCCTCATGCTATACCTCTGGCTGGGGATCGGACTCGCCTGCGCCGGCTTCTGCTGCCACCAAATGCTGCTGATCTTGCGAGGGCAGACGCGGTACCAGGTGCGGAAGGGGGTGGCGGCCCGAGCCCGTCCTTGGAAGAAGAACCTGGAAGAGGTCTTTGGGAAGAGGTGGCTGCTTGGACTGCTCATCCCCGTGCTCAATGTAGGAAGCGACTATCACAGGCAGAAGGAGCAGTGACGCCGCCCGGCACACAGGTGCGCACACGTACGTGCACATGCGTGGGCCATAAGGGAGTTGCAGCACTTTGAGGCACTTCTCGTTCCCTCCCCACTTCTCAGCCTTGCCACCTACAGGAAGGGAGGCAACTATCAAGCTAGCTGGGCTGATTCTGTATTTTAGAAGGGGAAATTGTGGCCCGTGTTGTATGTGAAGCTACAGCAGTAATCTCTGGGTTGCTAAAAGCGTTCATCAGACCCACCCTTGGGACTCTGAATCATTTTCTCACTGTGCCCCTTCTCACAATCTTCTCCCTTCCCACCTTGCCTTTCATGCTTAACTTGCCGTAGGAGTAGCAACAACAACATCCCCCACCATCTCAAGGTAGTCTGCGTTGCTCTGAGTAGGCTGTGAGCACATCAGAGACTCCTGTGGGATTTGCCCAATCTGTTACTTGAAAGCTTCTTCTCTTTTTTTGCAGTTTTTCAACTGACCCCAATATAGCAAGGAGCCAGTTTCACAAGAACAGCAGAGTGTGGTTGGTGAAGCACTTTAAGGTGCAAGGAATGACAACTGCTGGGGAGGCAGATGGTCTATGCCTGCACACTTCAGAGATGACAAGCATTTCCCTGCCCACTTCCTAGTTGCTCCCCTCCACTCCAACACCCAGGAACGATGGTTAGCAGCCTGAGCATGTGGCTTGCCCAGGGTAGCAGGTCTGCTGGCTGATTTTTATTTTTATATTTTTTAGAGAATGAGGTTCGTTTTCAACCCACTTGCCCCGATCCCTGACACATAGAGCTGTTCAAAGCCCATCTTGCCAATAGGGTGAGGAAACAAGCGTATTTGGGTTGAGCACAATGATGGCAGCAGGGAGAGCGGGCAAGTGTACGTGAATGGAGTGACTGAATGTATGAAGACATTAAAGTTCTGGACTGTCTTATACTGAGGCAGAGCACCGGTCCACTGAGCCCACGATTGTCTGACTTACAGGGGCTCTACATCAGGGGTAGGCAACCTCAGGCCCGTGGGCCGGATGCTGCCCAATTGCCTTCTCAATCCGGCCTGTGGATGGTCCAGGAATCAGCGGTTTTTTACATGAGTAGAATGTGTCCTTTTATTTAAAATGCATCTATGGGTTATTTGTGGGGCATAGGAATTCGTTCATCCCCCCCCCAAAAAAAATATAGTCCAGCCCACCACATGGTCTGAGGGACGGTGGACTGACCCATGGCTGAAAAAGGTTGCTGACCTCTGCTTTACATGATTGTAAGAAGAAGTATTTTCTAAGCTCAATCCATTAACTCACAAGTTGGCAACTCACAGCTTGGTGCCGACAAATGGCCCTCCACCTCCTCTTTAAGAGGAAAAGACGATGAGAGGGAAGCTGCGTGCACATTACTGTGGATCCTGTGCACTCTCACTGCTGGTGTTCGAAGCTGAGTGCTCACGACCATAAGCCACAGTCCATATCATCCTGTAGTTTCTGCCGTTTAATGCCTTTCCCCTCAGACCAGCTTCCTTCCAATTTGAAAACGTAAGTCGCAGTTAATCAGAGATGCATTGTACTTCAGCCATCCGTTGCACATGCGCAGAGGACAGCACATGCACAGAGCTTGGCTTCCTTGAATAGGAGTTTGGAAGGTTTGCAGGTGTGGGAAAACAAGCCAGGAAATGGTGTGTACAGCGATGTAAACATGTGGCTTGAAATGTAGCAGGTGGAAACGACCCCATTGTGTACCTGCTCATGTAAGTTGTGTACATGCTCAGAAAATGAGGGGATGAGTGTTACTGGATGATGGACAGATGTGTGAGTGCAAATGGAGGGATGGGTGAAAGGGAGAGAGAAGCGATGTGTCCCCCCCTCCACCTTTTGCTTTGGCCCAACCTCTCACTACCAGTATCCCCCCGTCACTTTCTTCTGATGGAATGCAGCCTTTGACACCCCTGCCCCAAAGCTTACCCCCCCATTTAATTGGAGACGGCAGGGGCTGAACTTAGGACCTTCAGCACCAAAGCTGTGTGCTTTGTCACTGGGCTATGGGCTCCTGCCTTCTCAAGGGACCTCTCACATGGAGGGGTACCCTAAGACTGCATTGTTGCGTATGTGAGAGAGGGGAGTGAATGAGCAGAGGCTGGAGAAGAATGGGATGGTGTAGGTGGAGGGGCTTATTTGAAAAGTGAGTTGTGTATGAGAATTAACAGGGGTTTCTTTTCCATCATGCTTATGTTGGAATGAAGCAAGCACAGTCTATTTACTTCTATGTGTAGCCAGCCCTCCCCCATTCCATGTACAAAAGCCAGCTAGAATGGTAGTGGAATTTTACTTCAACATTAGGAATGGAGGAGAAAGTTGATTCAGTATGCATTTAAAACTGGATCTCTCGAATCCACACTTTCCAAAACAATATGTGAACTGAAACACAAGCTATCCTTTGAAATTTGCACTTATCCAAATTTTGGTTCTTCAACCAATGTTTACAAAAAGGCATATTTCAGGGGACGCATGCATACAAATGAAGATATTGATGAAAAGAATGTGTGCAAATGCATTATGTTGGGGGAAAGTGCTTGTCAAAATGTGTACATTAATCAAAGTTGCTTATGAAAATGTGTTGAGAGTTTGCACTAAAATGCTGATGATTTTGCAAATTGCTTCCAAATGTGGAGAAGTCAGTTTAAGATGGGTAAAATGAGAAATGAAGAGAGCCCAAACTGACAGTTCCCTATTCAACACTGGTGATGGAACAGAGTCACCCAGGGCGCCATGGGGCAGTAAGCTAACCCTGAGGATACACAGCACCGGCTGCCCGGGGCAACTTCCTAACTCTGTCTAATGGCAGGGCTGGCTCTTTCAAGAAGTTGCTCCCATAAGGAAATATCTGCTACCCATTCTGGCCGACTAATGTGCAATCTGCCTGACAAAAGGAAGAGCAGGAATGGTTGGCTAGCAGCTACAGTAGTACTCTTCCTTTTTCACCTTTGGTAACCCCATTTTGCAGCTTTTTAGTGGTGTTGCAAAAAAACAAACAAACAAAAAAACACACACAAAAAATTCACTGTGATCAATGAAATGTGTATGTACACCCAGGGCAACAATGCCCGTCTTGCACCACTTTCAGCTTTCTTCAAAACGCCCATCAGTCTCCAACTTAAGAGGGCATGAGATGTAATTTTGCATGTGTCAGGGAGCAACCAAGTGAGATAGTGAACTGAATTATTGAAGGGAAGACTCTAAGTAGTAGCCCTTGAAGCCAGGCCCTCAAATTAGCACTTTGTAATAAATAATTCTTTCATGATTAATAGGGTGAAGAGTTCATACCATACATGGACGATAAGAGACATTTCAAGGAAGAAAACCATTCAATCTCATTTTTTTATTTCTATTTTTATCATCCTTCCGCAGCCAAGCTCTGTTCCATATTGTTATTCTAATCATGACTGCCTCTTGGGCCACACCAACCTGTTCTGTCTTAAAACAGCCTCCCCCAGTCTGGCACCCATAATGTTTTGGGCTACAACTCCCATCAGACACAGCCAGCCACATAGTCCAAAACACCTGGAGGGCACCAAGTTGGGGAAGGATGTCTTAGAATGATGCTTCTAGCAACATATTCATTCAACTCCATGGGGGCAATTAACTTAGTTTAGTCTAAACTGCAGGGATTAATCAGATCAGTGGAGAAGCTGATATACAACTTGGGCATACACCCATTGTCCCTGTACCAGAACCCTATAGTGGAAGGTGCCTTATTTTTTTTAAAAAAAGGTAAAAAAATCTGTCAGCCTCTTTCAGCTAAGCACATTTTATGCTGGTGCCCATATTGGATTTTGCAGACATTGAAAATCCATCACTTTTTCACAATTCAGAAATAGATATTTGTGTTTCATTTATTTTTTAATTAGGAACTTACATCTTGAAAATGGAAATCTAAGCACATGCGCTAATGCTGAAATCTGCCCACAGAACAACCCCACAAACAAAACACATTTTACCTTTTTCCATATGCAAATTACCTATTTATTTTCTACAACTTGACCCCGCCCTTTTGGTACCTGTGCTTTAAAATGATAAAATCAACAACTGAAACAATTAAAGCAGAATAAACACAGACAGAGAGTGAGGGGGAGGAGGCAGAAGAAAAGATGAGTGATGACGACGACCCGAGATCTCCGAGTCTTTCCAGTGAATCAGAAGATTCACAGAAAGGAGCACCAGTGGCCAGGGCAAGGGGGGAGCCTAGGGGACACCCCAGGAAGAAAGGGCCAGAGGGGGCTCAGAGGGGAGCAGGGGGAAACCGGGACCAGCGTCACCCACAGAGAGCAGGGGAGAGGAAGGGCGCCAGGTATCAAGCGCTGGAAGCTCACAACAGGAGGGAGGGCACGAGTCAGGAGTGGCCACACCTCCATCGGGGAGCGAAGAAACGGTCAGACGGAAAGTGGAAGGTTGGGCGCGCGCGCCAAGTTCAAATGCACAGGAAGGTGGCGCAGTGAGCAACCCGGAAAGGGAGCCAGGTCCTAAAGCCCGGCGCAAGGAGACAGAAGGGTCCGGGGGGTCAGCGTCAGAAGAATCCCGGAAGGAAGAGACCCCGGGGGGCAGAGGGACCCAGAGAAGAACAGTCAGGCGGAAAAGGTGGAGTAAAGCTAGGGTATTAAGTTGGTGTTTAAACCTAGCAAGAGCTCCGAAGTTAAAATTAGCACAGACTATTTATAAGGCTAGGTGGGGGGGGGGAGATATATTCAGCTGGTGCCAAAACAACACAAAGAGGAGTACCAGGAAAGTTTGCCTGGGAAGAGTGTTCAACAAAGTGGGCACCACCATTGAGAAGGCTTTCTCCCTAGTCATCATCCAGCTCACCTCAGAGGGCAGAGGCACCCGGAAGAGTCAACATTTCCTCAACATTCAAGTTAGGACAAGTGTCATATCTGTATTAGTAACATAAGGAAACCTTAATGCTGCACTTGAGTTGGCTGGAAGGATCACAGTTAGCAATTGGTGCTGGATCTTTTCCTTTCACAACATGGTTGGTTCACATTTGGTGGAGAGATGTGGTCCAAGGAACTGTCCAAGTCATACTTCTCACATTTCCATTGACAATAAGCTTTGGCCATGTGCTTGTCACATAGCTTTGTAGTGCCAATATGCACACACAAGAAACAAACTAAATAAGCATATTCTGAAGAGGTGTTTTGACCCTGAGAACATCTCAAAAGAAGAAATTGCTAACAGGTTAGATAGATGGTAGCACACATAGAGAAGTGGCTTACTAAATAAGACATGTGCTTGCATGAAAACGCCTTTATTTACCTAGCTATCTCCTCTGCTGCATTTTCACACTTAACAATAAAATGTATTGATTTTTTAAAAAATAAAAAAGTTTGTCTCTTCCGTGCTGTGATCTTTAACTTCTCTTTTGGGAAATGGGGAGGAAGGATGAGGATGCTAGATTCTTAAATAGCATAAACAAAAGAATTAGTTTTATTATTACATAAAATATTTCAAGTTAGCCTAGCAATTAGATATCAGGTCAGTGTAAAAATAAGGCCAAAAAGGGCCATGCCAGCATCATAAAATTTTAAACCATAAAATCATAAAATGATGTAGCTTATTGATTTTCTCTTTCTCTCTGGTTCTACAATGTGTGTCTCTTGTGTAACTACTCTTGGCTTTTCATTTTGGACTCCTTAAATCTTTAATGCTAAATCTCTTATATAAGAAACAAAGATTCATGAACTACTGCATGCTACGTTTTCAACATCAGATAGTTCAGTCCTGGAAAGTTGAGGAACCTTACGCTCCCCAGGTGTTTTTGGATTACAACCCCATCAGCTTCTGCCAGGTTGGCCAATGGTGGAATGATGAAAACTGGAGTCCAATAGCATCTGAAGCACACCAGTTCCTCCACCCCTGCTTGCTCATAAAGATCCTCTGGAGATGCTCTCCTCCAGAATTTCTCCCATCAACATTGAATTGAGTTAGGCTGGGTAACAGGAAAGGACTGTCCCCATGACCATATGCAGACTATAGAACTCCCGGTTAAGGGAGACCTTTGCTTGCTCCTTGACGGTCTTCGGTCACCTTGTGATGACCG